TAACTCTGGTGTATACTCAGTATTTTCACTTGGATGTTTAATAAACATCTCAAACTTAACATATTCAAAACTGAACTCCTGCCCTTTACTGAAAAACTTGTGCTACCCGCAGTCTTTCCTGTAAAAGTAAATGACATCTCCACCTTTCTTGAGGCATAGGCACAAGGTCTTGGAATCATTGTTAACTCTTCTCTCATATACTGCATCCATTCAATCAGAAAAATTACCTTGGTTGTACGTTCAAAATATATTCTGAGACACCTCTCACCACTTTCACTGCTACTACCTTGATTGAAGTCATTATTGGTGCAGCTGCCACCTGACTAGTCCTGCTTCCACCCTGGTCTCCTTTCTGGTCAGTTCTCAACCCAGCAGTCTAAATATTCTGGTTAAAGCATCAGATTATATCACTCCTCTCTTGGAAATTTCCCCACGGTTTCTCGTCTCATCCAGAGTAACAAAATCCTTATAGCAACCTACAAGATCTGGCCCGTTTACCTCTCTGATTTCCTCTCCTACTTTTTGCTTCCTAATTTATTCTGTTCCAGCCATACTGGTCTCCTTGCTTTTCAATGAACAGCCTGGCACACTCCCTCAAAGGGACTTTATTCTTCCTGTTTCCTCTACCTGGAATGCTCTCCCTCAGATATCTGCAAGGAAGTTTCTTTTTTCCTTGTTTCTTCTTTTTTTTTTTTCAAGGAAAGAAGTTTCTTTATCCCTTCAGGACCATCCTATTTCAGATTGTAACCCTCCTCTTCCTTGATACTTTACATCCTGTTTCCCTTTTAAATTTTTTTTCCATAGCCTATATCTCCACCTAATAGTGTATATATTTTACTTGTTTGTTTGTTTGTTTTCTCTGAATTCCTCCACTAAAATGGAAGCTTGATAAGGGCAGAGATTTTTGTCTGTTTACTGCTCTATCCAAGCATGTAGAACAGTGGCTTACACAAGTAGGTTTTTCAATAAATATCTGTTGAATAAATGAATGATTCAGTCAATCTTAGGGTTATTCTCAAGCAAACTGACATAAATCTCTTTCATGCTTCCCAATCATCATGATTCATACACCTGCTGAGATGTATTTTTGTAGTACCCATGAGATATTTCTGAGATTTTAGCTTCTATTTAAATCTACCCAATGAACACTATTGTTCAACTTTATACTCTGTTCCACCATCTAACATTTGAAGGCTTGTTTAATTTTCTCTTAAGATCTTGAACTTTAAAAGTAATTTTATTAAAATTACATTGTTTACTTTTCTTTCATTTTCTGAGGTGTCTTAATCAATTTTGCAAGGTTCTGCAATACTTTGCATTCCTGAGAAGGGAATCTCTTTTTTTCCCCTAACTCAGTAACTTTCACAGTCATTACTGCAATGTTTTACACATACTGGGTACTCCGTAAAAATATTCATAGGAAAACTTACATAAACAAAATTGAAAAAATAGTCTGTATGTGGTCAAAAACCTCCAGCATCCCTATTTTCATGTACTATACTCAGCTAGAAGAGCCACCTTACGGGTATTTTTTATTCATATTCTTTAATTTATTCATCATTTGGTGAATGTTTATTGAATTTTTATTATGTGCCATTCATTGCTCTGCCAATAAGAATCTCTACATTTAGTGGAGATATATAATAAATAAATACATTAAATTAGAATTGCATAGAAAAATACATCTTTGCCAAAATCCTGAGATTTAAGATTAACATACAGTCAAACTTTAAATTGGATTATCACCATTATAGAATGAACTTAGGGTATAGTATATCTGAAATTTTATCCAATAAAATATAGCTATTACTATAGCAGTAGAATTACAGAATTTTAGGCGTCAGATTTTGTACAGAGACAATAATTTCTCAATACTGTCAGCTGATTACTTCTGCCTATAGTCAACTCTCTTGCACATTTGGAATACTAAACAGTAGTCTATGATGATTGGCAGTTTTATAGAAGCAATCCTATAAACCATGCTATTTGTACTGCTTGCAGAAGATAAATCTTGGGTCTAGAAATGTGACAGTATAGCAACATAATTGGCTTTCAAGATAACAAAATCTTCTCTGAATTTTTATGTGCATCTCAGCGTTTATCACATGCATACCAATTTCAGCAGCTACCTGGAGTATCACAGTAAGGGGATCTTTACAGCAGAAAACATGCAGAGAATTTAAACTCTTAAGACAAGTTTGGTTTTTTGAAGAACTGGCAGGTTCTAGCAAACAAATTACTTTCCCTGAAAGTAACCGGTGATTGTTAGTAACATTTGCTATGTTGGTACTCTTATTTTCAAAACACTGTTTCAAGGCTTTCCTTGCTTTATACAGCCATTTTTACCACTTAAAGTATTCTATTACATCTGGTATGAACATAGTTTATTAGTATAAAACAAGACAATTGAAAAATGTCTTTTATGTCATATAGTTTTATCTTTGGTTAAAGAAGAAGAATGAAAGTAGTTGACAATTTTTCTGCTATAGTCAATAAGTCTGTCCTATCAAATACTGTTATTATTTCTGAAAACCCAATGGAAAGTTATGAACAAAACATGTGAACCTTTGATTCCTAAATCAGTCATAGTCCTCACCATCATTGTCAATGATAAGTGCATGCTGATTTTCCATTCTATAATGTATCTTCTATCAGGTTCACTTTGTTGTTAGCTATATGCAGCTGGAAGACTCTTCACAAGCAAGAAAAGCGGCGATTGGTTTCATTGTTAATTTACACATTGTCACACTTTAAAAGGACTTTAAGATATATACGCTTATCTAATTGTCTATTGCACATAATATTAAAGTAGAATATTTAATATTACTACCAATAATATTAACTTGTTTGTGAATAGTAAAAATAGTTTAGGAAAATATATTTCAGTAACATGTTTTCTAGGAAGAACCTTGAACATAAGGTCTATAGCTTAAAGAAATCTCAAAACTCCTCATACTTCATGTCCTGAAAATGATTGTTAATCTATATTAATGATTTTGTCAGGCTTTTTTTTAACCGCCACAAATTCGAAACCTCAATGAAAAATTGTTCCTAAATAAATATTCCTTTTAATGTCTATTGTTTTGAAATTGTAAAAGTGAGAAAATAAATATTTGATGTATCTAATTTTTCTTTATTTCTTTCTTTTCTGTATTTTTAAAAATTGTTTATGCCTAGATTGAAGATGATTTATATTGGATTTTTTTGTAAATGATATTAGGGCCTTGTTTCTCCTTGAGAAAATTCAAGATGGCAAAGCTAATATTTCATTGTTACTTCATTCTCACAAGATAGAAAGTATTCCCAACTAGAACTTGAAGGACTCATGTTAAATAAAACTAAGTAACCTACAATTAAATTTTGTTCTTAATAATAATTTTATTTAGTGTTGCAAATGCAAGTATGTCAAACAATTTTACAAAGGTCTGAATTTCAAGATAACCAAATATGTATATTATTCTTCATACTAGTTAAATTTTTATTAATATTTCTTGACTAAAATGCTTCCAACATTTTTCCTTACACTTGTCTAGCTATTGTAGTCTCTCAATATTTGTAATAATTATCAATTTCTCTATTTATTGAACTCTAGAGTTCTTAATTTTCTTATATAAAATTAACAGTTTTCACGATTATTTTTAAAACTTTACTCTTGCAATAATAAACTCTCATTTATAGTTTAGAGCAAGAGAATTTCATCCTATAGAGCACATAGGGAGTTATTTTCACTCCAAGTGGCATGTAAAATGCCCATTTATATGTGATAGTAAATAATCTAATATTTTAAATAAATCTAAATGTCATACCTTGTTGGCATTTGCAACATTGTTACACTTATTAGATAGGGTAGTAACATCTGTGCTTATACACATATTTATATTATTCATTTCTGGGAATGTCAGGACATTTTTAAAGTAAGCATCTATTTATTGGGCCTGCCAGAAGGTGAAGGCAAATAGTAGATCTTGATGAAATATTGAAGCTGAACTGAACTTTATATCTAATAAATATCAGTATGCTGTAGAGAAAATTGATGTAGATTAAAGGATTTAGAAAGTTAATGGGTTGAAAAGGGTGACACTTCAGCATGAGTGGTCCGGTAAGGCCACTTAGGAGGTGATATTTAAACAGAGACTTGAATGAAGTAAGAAAGCAAATCATGAACATATCTGAGGGAAAAACAGATGTAGGCAGGGAACAGGCTAACTAGTTAAGAGGTTATTGCAGTAATCCAAGTGATAATATGGTGGTGTTATGGATTAGGGTGGTGGATGTGGAAATGAAGAAGTGCTAAGATTTTTATATCAGACCTGTGAATTTGGCTGTGGGACATGGGAGAGATATAAAAAATAATTTCAAGGTTTTGGCCTGAGCAATCAATTGAATTTCTCACTGAGCTGAAGGATTCTGGTGATAAAGAAGATTTCCTAGAGAAGAGGAAGGTGGTCTTGCAAATTTAGAATTCTGATTTGAACATGTTTAGATAACTGTTAAACATCATGGTGGAAATGTCAGAAAAGTAAGTGACAGGAAACAGGTAGGAAGGAGTAGCAGATACAATATTGGGAATCATAAGCATACTGGTCTTTAAAACTATAGGATTGACCAAGTAATGGTCCTGAGTACACCCCAATATTGGGAATTCCAGGAAAGGAGGAGGAGTCAATGATGGACACCAAGAAGTTATAGTCAGGAAGACAGAAGAAAGACTGGGAGACTGTAGTGATTGAGAAGCCAAGAGAAGAAAGTGTTTTAAGAAGGTCAAAGTGTTTTAAAAAGGTCAAATACTATAGATGAAATTAGACAATGTTTTTTTGTTATGAAGTGGCACAGATAAATATCAATAGGATAATAGCTGGTGAGAAGAAGGACCAAGAGAGGGTATTTTTTGGTTTGGTTTGGTTTTTAGTGGGAACTATTTCACCATATCTGTATCCAATCTTTATCTTTCAAGTTTGCAAAGTTTTTAAATGTGTGTACGTGTATCTCCCTCCTCCTAGAACTGGGTAGAGAGAGCTGAAAACCAGACTCTTCTCTCCGATACACTTGACCTATCAGAACTCTTCCACCCAGACACATTTCTGAATGCGCTTCGCCAGGAAACTGCAAGGTAAATAGAATGAAATACTTATTTGTCTGAGAGGGTAATTATACTTTGATTTGTTCACTTCTGATCACATTCCCTTGATTGTCAAGAAATAAATTTATTGTTGAATCCAGATAGTTGTATTATTTCTTAATACTTGACGTTTAATAACAGTAAACTTCTAGTTTAGAGAACACTGCTTTCAATTATGATGTGTTTTATATTAGAATTGAAAAAGGCAAAACAATTTTTAAAATTTTGGTCATTTATTTATCTAGACCTATTGTGTCCAATATGGTAGGCAGAAGTCAAATGATGCTATTTAAATTTAAATGATTTATTCCTGATATTAGTGGATATGGTTTCAGTTTTTCACCATTCAGAATGATGTTGGCTGAGGGTTTGTCATATGTGGCCTGTATTATGTTGAGGTAAGTTCCCTCTGTGCCTACTTTCTGGAGAGACTTTATCATAAATGGGTGTTGAATTTTGTCGAAAGCTTTTTCTGCATCTGTTGAGATGATCGTATGTTTTTTCTCCTTCAATTTGTTAATATGGTGTATCACATTGATTGATTTGCGTATATTGAAGAATCCTTGCATTCCTGGGATAAAACCCACTTGATCATGGTGTATGATCCTTTTAATGTGCTGCTGGATTCTGTTTGCTAGTATTTTGTTGAGGATTTTTGCATCTATGTTCATCAGTGATATTGGCCTGTAGTTGTCTTTTTTTGTGACATCTGTCTGGTTTTGGTATCAGGGCCTCATAGAATGAGATTAGGAGTGTTCCTCTCTTTGCTATATTTTGGAAGAGTTTGAGAAGGATAGTATTCACCTGTAAAGCCATCTGGTCCTGGTCTTTTCTTTGTTGGAAAATTAATCACAGTTTGTTGGAAGATTTTTAACACAGTTTCAATTTCAGTGCTTGTGATTGGTCCATTTATATTTTCTATTTCTTCCTGGTTCAGTCTCAGAAGGTTGTGCTTTTCAAAGAATTTGTCCATTTCTTCCAGTTGTCCATTTTACTAGTATATAATTGCTTGTAATAATCTCTCATGATCCTTTGTATTTCTGCAGTGTCAGTTGTTACTTCTTTTTCATTTCTAATTCTATTGATTTGAGTCTTCTCCCTTTTTTTCTTGAAGAGTCTGGCTAATGGTTTATCAATTTTATTTATCTTCGTAAAGAACCAGCTTTTAGTTTTATTGATCTTTGCTATCGTTTCCTTCACTGTTTACGGATGATGTGATACTTACGATACATAGAGAATCCTAAAGATGCTACCAGAAAACTACTACAGCTAATCAATGAATTTGGTAAAGTAGCAGGAAACAAAATTAATGCACAGGAATCTGTTGCATTCCTATACACTAATGATGAAAAATCTGAAAGAGAAATTAAGGAAAAACTCCCAGTTACCACTGCAACAAAAAGAATAAAATACCTAGGAATAAACCTACCTAAGGAGACAAAAGACCTGTATGCAGAAAACTATAAGACACTGATGAAAGAAATTAAAGATGATACAAACAGATGGAGAGCTATACCATATACTTGGATTGGAAGAATCAACATTGTGAAAATGACTCTACTACCCAAAGCAATCTACAGATTCAATGCAATCCCTATCAACCTACCACTGGCACTTTTCACAGAACTAGAACAAAAAAATTCACAATTAGTATGGAAACATAAAAGACCCTGAATAGCCGAAGCAATCTTGAGAAAGAAAAACAGAGCTGGAGGAATCAGGCTCCCTGACCTCAGACTATACTACAAAAGCTACAGTAATCAAGACAGTATGGTACTGGCAAAAAAACAGACATGTAGATCAATGGAACAGATAGAAAGCCCAGAGATAAACCCACTCATATGGTCACCTTATCTTTGATAAAGGAGGCAAGAATATACGATGGAGCAATGACACTCTCTTCAATAAGTGGTGCTGGGAAAACTGGACAGCCACATGTGAAAAATGAAATTAGAACACTCCCTAACACCATACACAAAAATAAACTCAGATGGATTAAAGACCTAAATGTAAGGCCAGACACGATAAAACTCTTAGAGGAAAACATAGGCAGAGCACTCTATGACATAAATCACAGCAAGATCCTTTTTGACCCACCTCCTAGAGAAGTGGAAATAAAAACAAAAATAAACAAATGGGACCTAATGAAACTTCAAAGCTTTTGCACAGTAGAGGAAACCATAAACAAGACGAAAAGCCAACCCTCAAAATGAGAGAAACTATTTGCAAACATAGCAACTAACAAAGGATTAATCTCCAAATATACAACTCATGCAGCTCAATATCAAAAGAAAAACCCAATCCAAAAATGGGCAGAAGACCTAAATAGACATTTCTCCAGAGAAGATATACAGATTGCCAACAGACACGTGTAAGGATGCTCAACATCACTAATCATTAGGGAAATGCAAATCAAAACTAAAGTGAGGTATTGCCTCACAGCAGTCAGAATGGCCATCATCAAAAATCTACAAACAATAAATGCTGGAGAGGGTGTGGAGAAAAGGGAACCCTCTTGCACTGTTGATGGGAATGTAAATTGATGCAGCCACTATGGAGAACCGTATGGAGGTTCCTTGAAAACTAAAAATAGAACTACCATACAACCCAGCAATCCCACTACTGGGCATATACCCTGAGAAAACCATAATTCAAAAAGAGTCATGTACCACACTGTTCATTGCAGCTGTATTTACAATAGCCAGAACATGGAAGCAACCTAAGTGTCCATTGACAGATGAATGGATAAAGAAGATGTGGCACATATTACAATGGAATATTACTCAGCCATAAAAAAAACGAAATTGAGTTGTTTGTAGTAAGGTGGATGGACCTAGAGACTGTCATACAGAATGAAGTAAGTCAGAAAGAGAAAAACAAATACCATATGCTAAGGCATATATATGGAATCTAAAAAAAATAGTTCTGAAGAACCTAGGGGCACAACTAAAATAAAGTCACAGACATAGAGAATGGACTTGAGGACACAGGGATGGGGAAGGGTAAGCTGGGATGAAGTGAAAGAGTGGCATGGACATATATACACTACCAAATTTAAAATAGCTAGTGGGAAGCAGCCTTATAGCACAGGGAGATCAGCTCCCTGCTTGTGACCACCTAGAGGGGTGGGATAAGGGAGGGTGGGAGGGAGACGCAAGAGGTAGGGGATATGGGGATATATGTATACATATAGCTGATTCACTTTGTTATACAGCAGCAACTAACACAACATTGTAATGCAATTGTACTCCAATGAAGATGTAAAAAAGAAATTAAATGATTTAAAGTTAAAATGGATTAAGGAGACTAGATGGTTGCATAAGAGGATGTGACCCTCATCTTCTCCCCTGAACAAATCCGAAATACATCTACAGGAGGAGCATTTCTCAGTGAAAACTAACTGGAACTGGTAGAAGGACTCCTTTAAAACCGAGGCTGTAAGAAAAATACACATGTAATCAGGTAGGAAGGGAAGAAAAGCAATCAAATCAGGACCTGTGCCCCAGAGAGGGGACTCAGAGGAAAAGGGTGATTATATGGGCAGACCCTAGCCCTGGGGAGTGAGTGGGTCAAGCCACAGAGTAGGCATCCCAGTCCTGGGGTCCTACATGGAGGAAATAAGCCCCCTCACTGGTTGGAGGAACACTGTGACAAATAGAAGGGCTGGGAGAATCCTGGGCTCCATTCAAGAGGAGTGTGTGTGCACTGGCTAGCCTCTGGGGCAAGGTGGAGAGAGGTCTGCTCTAGTGGCTGCTGAGTTTCCCATGACTGCCTCATCATACACCCCAGACTGAGCTAAGCAAAAGCTCTGGCCCCTCTTAGTCCATGCCACAGTATGGCACTGGATCTGGGGTGGCCAGGACCAGGGAAAAGACTTGACTTTGGAATGCAGAGGTGATTTAGTCCCAGGGTGGACCCTGGGTGGGCTGTGGTGGCCATTGTTGGCACTTACTCAAGTGGTGCCCTAGAAGCAGTCCAGAGGGCAGCCGCTGTACACCACAGCTCAACCCACCACCTTGCCCCAGTATACACAGAGAAACCACAGAGGCCCTGCCTCCCCTTTGGGGCACAGAGGAGGTTGGAGATAGTGATCAGTTGTGAGAGACAAAGAGGTCTTGCCCCCATGGCAGGGAAGAGAGGTCTGCTCTAGTGGCTGCCTGTTTTCCTCCAACCACCTCATCATGTGCCTCAGCTCAAGCTAAGCAAATGGTTGGACCCCACTTAGTCCATGCCACAGCACAGCCCTTGATCTGGGGCGGCTGCGACCAGGGAAAAGACTCAACCGTGGTCTGTGGCTGAGCAGAACCACAGATGCCTGCACAGACAGCACATTGGACTGCTGTATGCACATGAACCTCACTTGATTCAGCACTCCCCTCCTGGGACAAAATTCCTGGTGTGGGGAGTGGGGAAAACCCACACTTAAAGGAAATGGAGCCAGTTCAAGCCTGACACACAGGTCTTCTTCTGCAGCAACATGGGATCAGACCCCAACCCTGGGAGGGCAGTGATGGTTACTGACCAGAGAAGAAGCCTTGCCTCACACCCCAGGCCAGCTCTGTCTCCAGCCCCACCACTTACCAAGGCGATAGCTGCCAGCACACTCTGAGGAAAGACATGACTGGCATCCACATCAAATCCAGCTCTCCCACCAAAGGCATTGAACATATGTAGTCAGCATAGAGACACTCAAACATAAGAACACCCCTTTAAGATGCAATAGGTAACTGTTTCACCTAAATTCATAGAGGCAGAGAGAGTTAAGTCTAAAAAAATGAAAAGGCAGAGGAACTACTCTCAATTGAAAGATCAAGAGAAAAAATAAATAATGAAAGAGAAATAAACAATTTACCAGATAAAGAGTTAGACACATTGGTAGTGAAAATGTTACTTGAATTAGGAAAAAGAATTGATCTAAAAAATGAACATGTTCTCAAGGAACTAGAAAATATAAAGATCCAGTCAAAAATAAATAATTTAATAGCTGAAAT